TATATATATATCTTTTTACCACTAATACATATATATTGATTGAATTGATTTAATACACCGGCAACAAGCCAAAATATTTTGATATGGAGAAAAATAATATAATACAAAATAGGATTGACTTTTGAAGTTTCTATGATGGTGGTTATTATTGCCAGCAAGCCAGAGGAATTAGATACTATATGTACACATACACGCATGCAGAAGAATTATTCTGTGGAAAGCACTTCAAAAATTCCAGTGGTTCAAAGAATTCAAGTTTAAATTAATTGATTTTGATTCTTTTATGCTCTGATCCTACTTCTAAACTTCAAATATTTTGCTTTAATTTGGAGTTTCGTCGTATTCATCGTTGTTGAACGATCACCTCAATTAAAAGGGTAAACTATGGAAAATCCCCTAAATTTAGACAAAATAATGAAAAACACCCCACATATGCATAATTACTAAAACTTCCCTCTGACTATCTATTGATCGAGTTTTTAAATAGAAAATGTGCAAAGTTGATTATGCCCTTCGGTTAAATACGAGAAAAGTAAAAGAAAACATCTGAAATATGTAAAGTCTACATCGGGATCTCGAGCAAGGCCATGAATTTTATGAACAACTAAACTTCATTGACAAGAAGGTTTTGTGAATATTCATCTCAAATTAAGAAGATTTTGTGAATAGTCATCTCATAGGGGGTCTGTGTAATACAAAAACAAACACCAGATGAATTTTGGTAATTACGAATATGTGCGGTTGTTTTTCATTATTTAGCCTAAACTCACGAGGGTTTTGGTAAATTACCCTTTTAAGTTATTAGTGAATAATAATATACTATTTAATATTAATATCTTTAATATTTAATTAATTAATATAAGCCACTAGGGTTTTGACTTTAATTCCCAAGTGGGAAAATTAGATGGCGCGTCTAAATAGAGTAGCTCAAGTCTCAACCATTGTTTATTTACAAGTTTGCAATCATTTTGTGCACTAAATAGAAAAAAATCCTAGTTTGACTTTCATCCACTTGTTCATAATTCTTTTTCAATTAAACCAATAATCTATATTATATAATATTAATCAATTAAGCTGAGTTTGATCCAAGTTTAGTAATATGAACACAAAAAAACATGGAGGCAGCCATAGATGATTATCTTAATTTAATTATTACTCATACCTAGTCATGTGCCCCTATTGCCTAATCTAATCATTGACAATTTTACTTCTTTTTTCTTTTTCTTTTTTTTAATTATTCCGAATTTCATTTTTTGTCTGAATATCTTTTGCAAACCATAACTTAAACATCTTTCACACCAATGGGACATACTCAAGATTTTTTCTCTTTCACTATTTATTTTTTTAATTAAACAAAATTTGTCTTTCCCTTGTATTATAATTATAATGTTAAATTAGGTAAGGTTATATTACGAAGAAACTCTTCTGTATTGGTAATTACAATCACATCCTCAACTATGATTTTTTTTACACGGTCATCTTTGTGGGGTCAAATTCAACATAATCTTTTAAATTCCGTGGAATGTTTTTTAAGTTTACACTCAGTTTTGTGCAAAACTACAGTTTTTGATGCACCACAATCTGATATTAACAAGCCAAGAGAGACATCTTATGATCATCTTGTTTCAGAATGTAGAGCCTGAATGAGGGTAAAACGGGTACAAACTGAAAAATATTCCACATAATTTAAAAGATTACACCAAATTTAACATCGTAAAGGTAGACATGTAAGAAGATTCATAATCAAAGAGGTAATTGTAATTGTAATTATCCAAACATTGAGATTTTTTTCATAATTTAACGGTACCTCACGGTGGACGTCATTGACCCTAATTATAATACACAAAGATATTTAATACCATAATACCATAATCCAATAATAAATAAAATATTTCATTGTGAAATTTGAGTATCTACCTTCACTAGATATTATAATTTCTCTTCAACAATAATTAAATTCCCATTTCCTAATCCAAAATCAAATCTTTGAGAAGTCAAACCACTGGTCAAACAACAACAGACAATCCTCTTTCAAGAAAGACTTAACACAATCCCAAAGCCAGATAGAACAGCAAACAAGAAACTGGCAAAATCCCATAGCCTCAAAATAATTATAAATAAATTTGAATCTATTAAGAATTAATTTTTCCTAAGCCTGATTAATTAATTTAATTTACTGGCGTTGTCTCGTATTTGAGCTGCGAATCGTCACGCCGTGCAAGAACTTTGTAAATCCAAGAAAACTCAGCTTCCCATCTGATGGTCTGATCCAATCTTTGAGTAGGTACTGTGTAGTAGGACCCAAATTCAATTCCTGTAATTAAATTAAATTAAATTAATGAGACTTTTTATTCGGTCTCGAAAAATAGTTAGTTAGGTGCTGTATTTATTACCTGTGCTAATTCTTCGATCGAAGTAACACGGTTTCCTTCTTGTTCGAAATACTGAAATGCTGCGCTCGCAATTTCCTCCCAATTTTCCAACGCCTCGAGCTGATACGTACTTATTGTCGCGGCGCAAAACTCTTCGAAATCCATTTTTTTATACGACAGAGGTTCCATCTTCAATCCAATATAAATAAATTATTATTATTATTATTATTATTATTATTATAATATATGTTTATAGAATTTGTCGAATGTGTTAACGGAGCGCACGTCTCACCATATTCAAAATGTCGGCAACTCTTGATTCCTTCATGGCATCTGTTGCATTTTTCATCAATGCCTGTAAACAGACGCATCGTAAAAACGAGTTTAGAAATTTATTACACGCATCAATATAATAATTATTAAAAAAAAAGGGAACAAAAATAACCGACCGTTTTAAAATTATTAAGGGATAGAAAACCATCCTTCGGTTCCAGGAGTTCAAATTGTGCCCGAAGGTAAATGAGCTCGTCCTCTGTCAAAGCTTTCGAAAGTGCCTGCATACTCGAACGAATATACGTATTTTACCAAGCATTACATATAACGCATTATACAAAAAAAAAAAAAAAAAAAATCGAGTACATACTTTTAACGCTGCACGTTTAAAATGAGTGGCTCGAATATACGACTTGATCACTCTATAAATCATCATATCTAAAGGTATAGCGCAATCGAGCTCCCTCAACCATGGATGAGCTGCAGATAATAACGAGGCGTATATCAACTTTTTCAATATATATAAAAAACTAAATATATATTTTAAAAAAAATTAAAAAATCGGTAACTAATTAATTACTCAATGCTTGGGCAGCGGTCATTCTTTTTCGATGGTCTCTATTTAAAAGCCTTTTAACAAAATCTTTAGCCTCTGCAGATACCGACGGCCACGGTGCATCGAAGAAGTTGGGATCGGCTCTTAGTACCGAACGGAATATTCCAGATTCCGTCCTTGCCCAAAAGGGCCTACTTCCACATAATAAAATATACGTTATTACACCGATGCTCCAAATATCCGCTTCGCTACTGTATGATCTGTGAAGCACTTCTGGAGCAACGTAGTACGCGCTTCCCACAATATCATTTAATCGTTGATCTGCAATAAATAAATAAAAAATTAAAAAAATTAATGACTGTTACGAAAAACGTGTTCTAATATCGAGAATAACATAAAGAATTTCCGGAAGATTTACCTGGCCTAATGAAATCGGATAGACCAAAATCGATGACCTTCATTTGAGCATCTTCGTCTTTCGTGGCAAATAAGAAATTCTGCAAACATAATTTTGTTTTTTTATTTCAAGAATTGATGCAAACATTTTAAATAAGTATTTAATTTATTATAGAACTTTCGATTTTACCTCTGGCTTGAGATCACGGTGTACGACGCCTTGTAGATGACAAAACGCAACCACACTCAACATCTGCACGACTATTTTCTTGGCATCCTCTTCCGTATATCTCCCACCTCTACAGTACGAAAGCGCTAATTATATTAAAACCCGATTTTAATTTAATTTATCGGCTATCTAATTTATAACAAGTGATTTTGGATATTTTTTTCATCCAAATATTACCGTGCTAAAATCCTGTCCAGCAGCTCGCCTCCTTCGCACAATCTGTTCAGACATAAGTTTGTTAATACTTACGATTCTCCGATCAGTTACTAAGATAAGCTGATATTGATTAGATAATTTGATTTTACTATATTAACTTTTTTGGTCGGACCCCGAAATTTTCTACAAGAATGAACCCTTTCGACTACACATTTGAGTACTCGTAAGATTGCGTAATCTTTTATCTCGGCTAATCCTTATCTTGACAACCAAACGAGAGACGATTTACTAATTCGTTTCAAGCTAAACTAGGGAATTAGAGTCTGGTCTAGTAAATCAAGATTAGGGCAAGAGAGATAAAACGTACTCCATAACTACATAAACGTTCTGCGCATCTTCAAACGCGTCGTAGAATTTGATTAGGTTTCGATGTCCAGACAAAGCTTTTAGTATCTTCACTTCCCTACGTACGTCTTCGATTGCAATTGCTGTCGTCATCTGCCCAAACAATTTTTCGGTTTCACAATTAAATTTAATTTGCTGAATTACATACATACATACATAATTCCAAGAACACAAGTGGCATTTTAAGTGTAAGCTGCAGACAAGATCCAATTTTTTTGGATCAATGATATATATAATATATACATACATAAAAAATGATGATCTGCAATCTTGTTTACCTTGGCTTTGGAGATGATCTTGACAGCAACTTGTTGATTTTTCAAATCACCCTTTTTACCCTTGGCCCAGCAAGTATGACCGAAATGCCCTCGCCCAACTTCTTTACCTAGTTCGTACTTTGCGGCCAAGTTTTTTGAATACCCGAAGCTTTTGTCGAGGGGCCGCTCGCTGGGGCCGCCGGCGGCGGCGGCCGATTCCTCCGGTATCGGCTTACTAGGCTGCGCAACCGGGTGCCGTTTCAGGAACGCCGACATGATGGGTTTCGCCGGAGAAGGCGGGGGTAGAGGCCACCGGAATTTCCTCCCCGGCGTCCTCGCCGGGGATGGTGAGGGCGCGATGCCGGCCGGGTAGGGGCTCTGCCACGGGCTCGCCGTGAACGAGTGGGCCGGTGTACGGGCCGCTCCATTTGCGGAGGCGGACGGCGTATGCGATCCCGATGCGGGGGTCTGACGGCGGTGGTTGGCGGAGGCGGAGGCGGAGTTGAAGTCGTCTTTGTCAACGGAGACGGCGACGCTCTTACTGCAGCAATGCCCCATTCTCTTGTTTTATTAACCGGCGGAATTCGGAAATCGTGTGTCTCCGATCAACGAAAAGGGTGGTGTCGGAACAGTCAAATCATCGGAATCGGATTTCTTGTGCTCCGGCGGCTAAAACATACGGCGGCGTAATTTTCTCTGTTGACGAAGACCCTCAAAATTTTCTGCTGCGACAAAGCTAAAGCCCCACCATATTTATTTATCTTTCAAAAATCTGATTCTGCCCCCATCAACTGAATAGTCAACGGACAGCTCATCGGACGGTCAACGGCGAAGTAAAGCTCCGGCGAGATTACGTTACTTTTTTTCTCTCTACTTGATTTTTGCTGGAAAAGATCAAATGTTTGAGTCTTGAGATATATTACACAGGAAAGGATCTAAATTCAGACAAATAATAATTAATAAATAAATAAATAAATAATACACGAAAAAAGAAAAGTATTTAATAATAATAATAATAATAATATAAGACTCCTCTTAGGTAAGAAAACTCAAAACGTCGTGTAAGGTTTCGATTTCCGATTTTTCCTTTTCGTCACGAAAATGATTTCGTAAATTTGGTGTTATATAAAAAAATTACTTATAAATTTAGGCAATGTTTGGTTATATTTTTTCTTTTTCCTTTTTTTTTTTGGAAAATGAATAAATATTTGTTTCCAATAGTTTTAGACATTATTTAATTGCTACATTATACTTTTGTCACCTCTAAAAATATAAATATTTTTTTCTCCCAAAATGTAGTTGCTTATAATGAAATTAAAATAATACCCAAATCACTTTCAAACATAATAATTTAATCAACCAACACTTTATTATTTAAATTGAATTTGTGTAAGAATTTCAAGTGGATTATCAATTCCCTACAATAACAAATTAAGGGCATGTTTGGCTAGGCTTAATTTAAGCAGATGACAAAGCCAAACACCCTTTCAATATAATTGAAAATAAGGGTTTTGCCCGCATGAGTGTAGCTCAACTGGTTCCGGAGGTGGTAAGTTGGTGCAAGGTCCTAGGATCGAATCCTGGCAGTGTGGGAATTTCAACTCCAATGAGTTGGTTCCTTGTGGGCACCAGGTCCGGGTCCGCTACCTTAACGGGCCGTTGAGTTATCATGATTTATATTCCTCCATCAATCCTTGTCGGGCCAAAGGATGGGGGCCCTGAGGGCGAGGGATTTCGCCTTTTGATGAAAAATAAGGGGTAAGATTTGAAATTCAAAGTAAAATCTAGTCCCCCAAAAGACTTCAATGAAATTATAATTACGGTATTAAAATCTTTAACTTCAAAAATTTTCAACCGTAACGAAGAAGCTTTTCAAAATTTTAATTAAACTAATATTTTAATTAAAATCGCGGTTTACAAGCATTGTTTAATTTTTTTTCTTTAATTTTTATATTCAAATGTTTGTCTATGTTTCAGACTTTTTCCAACTTTTCCTTGGGAAGAAAAATAAAAAGAAAATAAAATAAAATAAAATAGGTAATAATATGTGTTTGATTTGTCAACGGAAGAAATTAGAAAATGTAGTAAAATCAAATAAACGGCGGACTAATATTTGGGTTGTACTTTATGCATTAATCATTTTCCTAACCTCCAGTCAAGTTTACATTACATCATCATGACTTCAATTCCTTTTTTTTTCATTTAAAAAAAAAATTGTATACCCAAAGTTGAGTTGTTAATTGTGTACAATTTATTCATTATTAACAAAAAAAAAAAAACTAGTTTCTATGTATTATATTTTAAAATTAAGAAATGCAAATTTATGGGTAAAAAAGAAAAAGAATGATAGAAAATCATTTAATGTAGACAGTGTGAAATTCAACTACCAAGTAATGACATATTTATTTCAATACATAAATGGCCACCAGACTACAATACCTGCCAACCATGCCAGTAATTTACTATATTATTTATATTATTTATATATATATATATAACAATTAAATATGTTAAAAGAAAATAATAATAAGAGTGACAGGCCCCAGTATAACAGAAAATTGAGTTAGTTTCTTATTACATTTTTATGTTCTTTTATAGAAAGTAAATTTGTGGAGAATTAATGATAGAGCTGTCACATTTTGTGTTTTTTATAACAAAGTGTTATTGCTGTATATTAATTATAATCAATTGTATAATTATTGTTGTACTTTCAATTATGTAAATGTTGGATCGAACAATCTTTGATTTAAGTTTAACGCGGTAAACAACTGTCGTGTTTTATGGCCCAAATGATATGATGGGCCGGTTCAACCCGTTTGCCCTCGGTCCCACCCCTACTAGAAAAGTTACGAGAGCTCAATAATAATAATAATAATAATAATAATAATAATAATAATGACAATAATAATAAATATTATTATTATTATTGGGTTTTGATGTCAATTTTAATTTCACAATGTTTACTTCACCTCCTAAAAAAGTATTGGGTTTTGATGAAAATAAATAGATCATTGAAGAAGCGACTTGCTTTTTACGGTTTGAAAATTGCTATTTACACTTCATAACAAAAAACACTTTCTCTCTAAAATCCCAAAACTTCAAAAAAAACCCAAAAACCCCCCAAAACGCGTATAAGCCCAACTTGGGAGCCAATTGATGCAGTGCACGCCCAAGTTGGGCGTGCAAGCTGCATTTGGGCGCCCGAGTTGGGCGTCCAATGCAAATTTTGTTTTTTTTTTTTTTAATTGTATGCCCAAGATGGGTGCCCAAGGCGTGTATGAACGCCCGTAATCGACCTACCCAATGCATGTTACACATAAAAGATTTGAAATTACCTCAAAAAATCGAAGCCCAACCCTTCTTCAAGCTTGATTTCGATTTTTCAATTTTTTTTTTTTTTTTTTTGCTTTTGCTATTTACAGTTTGGGGGTTTTTGAGTTTTTTTGGAAGGTTTTGAGTTTTTAGAGAGATAAAATATTTGTTGTTATGAACCGTAAATAACAATTTTCAAACCGTAAAAAGCATTTCATTTGAAGAAACACTTTCATCATTAGTTTTATTTATTTATTTATTATTATTATTATTTGATTTTTTTTTTTCATATTTGGGCCTTAGACCTATTCACAACAGTATACGCAAATCTCACTACCAATTTATCCAGCTGTAAAGCCTCGTTTGGGCCTAAGATATATTTACAGGCCCAGCCCATTTTACCATCATCCGCTCAAGCGTGGAAATTGAAACGCAATTTTCGTATTCCATCGATTATAATTAAAAAAAATAAAAGTGATTTTGGTAAACAATATTTTTCGATACAAACTTCAAAAAATTCCGATTTCCGATTTTTGTTAATTCTTTTGGATCTGCATTGGAAGACGTATGAGGTATGATTTCCAATTCAAATTTAATTTTGTTTAAGATAATTTTTGAAACAAAATTACACCTATCATATCAATTTATTATGTATTTTTTTATTATAAGTGGATAAAAAATTGATTTAGGAAAATGCTGACGTTCGACCGCATCTAATTCGAGCTTTTGTCGAACCAACGCTAATTCATTTATAATTCATTTAGAACCCTTACCTTCAACACATGAAAATATCTTCATTTGTCCTAAAATTCGGCGAGCCAGTAATATTGAAGTATGTTATCATGCCACACTTCCCATTCTGCTAAGAAGAACTCCTACAGAGGACCGTCGATATTTTCCAATCTCACAAGTAATTAAAGATCAACGGCTCTGATTTACAACACCACGGATAGGTTTACTAAAGCAATTGCAGTCGATAATAGCTCCACATTTTCCTCCTATAAATGGCGGGAGTATATTTATTACCAAAAATTTAATGTTCTAAACTCAATCATCCCCTCTCTCTCTCTCTCTCTCTCTCTATCTACTGTCGTCAACGAGTTTTACTATTTTCACATCAAGTCCCTCTAAAACCCCTCATTCACAAAAACAACCCAAAACTACAAATCTCTGAAATTCCGCTGGCGATAATTTCATCACTCGATTTCAACTATTCGCCCACCGCTGTGGATATCTAGATTTTGTTTCTGCACCTTTTCTCATTTTTTGTGCTGCCGTCGTTTTTTCCCCCTTTCCGTTTTCCCTAGGGTTTCAATGAGGAATTAGGATTTTTTTTTTTATAAGGTTAGCTTTTAGCTTTTGTTTTAATGGAGGCCCCGCCTGCTGTACCCACCATCAACCGGAATGGCGGATTATCGATGCCGCCGTTATCGTCGTCTTCCTCCCAGCCTCCTCGCAGGGAGTGGCGTGCCGTGTCGGAGCAATCGGTTCGAAACTCCGGCGGCGAGGTGGAATATCTAATTACATTGTCTATTTTTAATAAAATATTATTATTTAATTACATTTATGTCGATAAAAATTGAACATTTAACAAGGTTGATTTAGCGAAATATCTAGTTGCACTGGCCTTATGACGATTCAAAAATAAAAATAAAAATGGATTATTGATGTATTTGTTGAGAAAATAGCATTTCATGTTACATTTCATCTGAATGTGCGGCTTTTAAAAAAAAAAAAAAAACAATGTTTGTTCACTTTTCGTTTTGGGTTTTGACGTGCACGTATGCAGGAGTTGGAGCGTTCGAAACTAGTTCAGTCTGATGAGAGATTGATATACGAGGTAATAACTTTGTTCTGAGTTCTTGATTTTGTATTTAATCCTTTTACGAGTTATTTCAGTACTCTGAATAGGAATAGACCTGTTAATATGAAGTATGTGTCGTATCAAGGTACAGCATGGGAGAGAGCAACTGGATGTGAATTTTTGCTCGATTACTATTGATGGAGGTTTGGGCAATGATATTTTGCAGCAGAGGCTTCACACAGTGGCTAAACAAAGGGAGGAGTTGCAGCACATGGAGATTGAGCTGCGGGCGCAGGTCATTGCAAGATCCGAAGTATTGGGAATGCAGAATTCCTTCGATAATCAGATAAAAGAGCATGCAAATGCCAATGCTAAACTTCAGGTTTCTACACTTTCTTTTGGTGGACATTTAGTTTTTTGTTTAACTTTGGTGCGTGTACAGATATGTACCAGTGGCAGTTATAATGTTTTGTATTTGAAATTTGACGAATATAATGTGTTGTGTAGGAGCAATTGCATGAAAAGGAACAGAAGATACGTGAGCTGGAGAGAAGGATGGATGAAAAGGAAAGAGAGTTGCATGCTATTAGATTGGATAATGAAGCGGTTTGTTTGAAAATCTATTATGCTTTCCTTCTCTTATTATGCTTTCCTTCTCTTGAAGTTGAATTTGTCAAACAGGCACGCCTAACAACTATTTTCTTCGTTATACGATTTCGTTTGTTTTAGCAGGCTTGGGCAAAAGAGGATCTTCTACGAGAACAAAGCAAAGAGCTGCAGAGCTACATGTAATATTTTTTTTTTCAATGCTTGGCTATTAAGAACTCGTGTTTTGGTCTCAATGAGACAAATATCATTCATCATTTTTATTTTATCGATCGATTTAAAAACAATGGTTTCTTTTCTTTCAAGTATATGCATTTACCGTCATGTGTATTGCTTGGAAGTCTGAGCTTTCAATCTTCCGTTGTTCCATACTACTGTTGTTATCTCTACTTATGGATTCATTCATTGTTTTCCAAGGTTTTGAGGTTTTTGATTTTTCTTTCTTGTTTTTTTTTTTTTGCAGGAGGGAGAGGGATAATACTGAATCTGAAAGATTGCAACATATTAAACAAATCCATGATCTTCAGGAACATATGCAAGAGAAAGATCGCGTGTCTATGGAACTGCAGGAACAGGTATGTTTGCAAGTTTGAATCCTGTGTTTGTATATCTTCTACATGTAACATTGATTCATCAAATTCTTGAAGTACCTCTAGTCAATGTTGCTTGTTAGTTTCTTTTTAAGCTGGCATATTACTTTCTTAATAGTTTAGAGACAAGCACTATACACCACATTCAGGCAGTCCGTAAGGATTTGTTTGTTTTTACCATAATTTTGTCTTAGTGCTGGACTTAGTCATCCTTTAATGTTATTCACTAAATCTCCTTATTATTTAAATATATTCTGTTGGGTGAAATTTGCTTGCTATGTCCTGCATTATGTCTTTATAAGATCAGAGTACATACAATAAATTGACTAGATGTGCATTGACTTTTTGCTGTCCTCATTCAGCATAGGATTGCTCAAGAAACCATTCTTTTTAAAGATGAGCAGTTGCGAGAGGCACAGGCCTGGATGACACGTGCCCAGGAAATGGATGCTTTGCAGTCAACTACTAACCACACTTTACAAGCTGAACTGCGAGAACGCACAGAACATTATAATCAGCTCTGGCTTGGTTGTCAAAGACAGGTGGGTAAGCTATAGTTATCAATATATAAGCCAAATGACTAGGTTGGTCGAGCTTCTTTTGTCACTAGAGACTAACTTAGTCGTATCCCTTAGTTTGGTGAGATGGAAAGGCTTCATTTGCATATACAACAGCTCCAGCTTGAATTGGCCGATGTAAGAGAAAAGAGTGGAAGTAACGTGGATGGTTCGCTTATCTCCCAGACAAACTTGAAAGATACTTCTGAACTTGAAAAGACAAACGGAAGGCAGCTGGAGGTGATCGTTGATGAGTCACCAAGTACAAATGCTGGTAGCTTACAAGGAAACTCTGAAAGTGCTTCTGTGGGAAACACATCAACACAGGTAAAATATGGCCTACTTCTTCTAGTTTGTTACTTGTGGTGCTGTATCGTAAAAAATATAGCTGATGTTAACATTGAGCCATAGAATCATTGATGTGGCTATTTCTCGGCACTTATAGGACTGATTTTCGGACTGTAAATCATCTCTGATTTAGTTTTCAATTTCTTGTGTTGATAATAGATTTTTTTAACCTCTTTACTATTTTTTTTTGGGGAGATGTCTTGGAGGATAGATTGGTGTCTTTCATTTCTCTATGTCCTGAAATGTTCTTTTTGGTATTTACTAGGCCGATCATGTTCAAGTTGTTGCATTTGGTCCTTCATCTCTACTGGGTATGCCTACCTACGTTCCAACTGGACAGGTAACTGCTTTGCATCCATTTGTAATGCATCAACAAGGTGTCCCTCACCCATCACATATGCAACCTCATTTTCACTCCATTCAGAACTGGCAGAACCAGCAGGTAATTTATATATTACAATCTGTTGCTACTCTCGGTTTTTACAAGTTGCAGCAATTTGTTTGTTGTGCTTATATTCTGCTTTTCCATGTTCAAGGTTCAGCCTGATGGTCATCATGTGCCTAGCCATAACCATTATCCTCAAGAACCCGAACAAAGCTTGTTGAGAATTGATCCCCATTATGATTATGAAGCTTCTGGGAATCAGCAAACTCATGCAAACTACGCGGAGACTAATGTAAATCGAGAGTTGGATGCTGATTCTGTGGTCCCATCTGCAAATGGAGAGGAACAGGTTGGTTGCTCAAAATGATAACTTTAATTTGACTTGTCTTATACAGTTATGCCACTTATATCCGTACCTGGTGGCTTATTTTAATTATGTTAATATTTCACAGGTTCTTGACTCTATTGATAAAACTTATGACACAATCCAATATCCGGAAAACTTGCACCAAATCTCTTCCCAGTTTCGTGAGGCTCTTAGTTTGGGTCCTCTTGAACGTGGCAATGTCACTAAGGTTTTTAATAGCTTGCTCCCATCCATTAAATTGATATGATTTTTTATTTTAACGTTTCTTTGCTGTTATTATGTCCTTGGTATGAGGTGATGCTACTTCTCTAATTGTGTTAGACTGATAGTTTTTCTTGAACTAATGCTGCAACAGGAGAAGCAAGTGAACCCAGCCAATGAACACTCCAGTCTTGCTGTCAATGCTTCTGCATCTGAAGCATTGGCTAATGCTAGAAGTTTCAGCGAAACAATTCCCGATAATGCGAGGAATGCTGATTTGACTGATGCTGCTGCTGGGCAGAAAAATAACATAGTAGGAAAGCCTGCGGAAAGTTATCTACTTGATGAAAGAGCATTACTAGCTTCGATAGCTCGAACAATAGGATCTAGTGGCAGAATTAAAATTAGTTCAACTGTGAGTTAATTGACTTTTTTATGGTTGAGATTTATTGATTTAATAGGTTGATTATAAATAAACTAATGATGATACCATGTACACCAACAGCTTTCCAACAGACTTGGAAAAATGCTTGCCCCTCTTCACTGGCATGATTACAGAAAGAAGTACGGAAAGCTTGATGATTTTGTGGCCGGTCATCCTGAAGTACGCCCTCTTCTTCCATGTTGTCTTTCTGTATTTTAATTAGAGTTCATTATTTATATAATCTTTTTTTTCTTTTCGTTTTAGTTATTCTTTATTGAGGGGGACTACATTCAGCTTCGTGAAGGGGCCCAACAAATAATAGCTGCTACAGCAGCTGTTGCTAAAGTTGCTGCAGCTGCAGCTGCGGCTCCAACTTCGTACTCATCTTTGTTGCCGTCTGTAGCAGTCACTCCCATGTCACAGTCACACAGACTGAAGAAAGCCCCATCACTCGAAACCTCTTCTGTGGACTCTGATAGGGTCAGTTTTAACGAGTTTACGGGGCCTAGACCTATGAATATGGAGAACCGTCCTTCTCAGTTCCCAAACGGTAGTTCGTTTAATGTTGCTGGAGGAACCACCTCAAATGTTAAGATTCTAAGTAAAGCTAACATGGAATTGAATGGCTCCGAGATAAGAGTTGGCCGTTCTACACTGCTACCAATCGGAAACGCAACCAACTCTGAGAGAAGTGATTTTTCTCAAACCAAGGGTGCCTCTCATGGTAGGCCTCGTGGAAGTTCGGTTGGGAAACAACAGAACAGGTATATGATACACTCGACTGTTATACAACTTTCTGTTATTTTCCGTGCTTCTGAAATGGAACGTTGTGGAGGTTAACTTAAACTGTTCGTTTTTTTCAGGGCGGTTGGGGCTGCGTCATCAAGTCAGAGAAGATAGTAAGTTCAGTTTCACTTTGCACTCTGCACTTGGTAGATTAGTTGTCTCGACTCTAGAAACTTAATAGATACTCTAGTAAGTGACGTGATTCTTTAAACTGGACAAGCAAACATGTCTATGCTAGTTTACTGGATAACTGATATCCATACAATTGCGCCTAGTTAAAAGAGACTCGAGTTTCAACCATTTTTTTATTAATTTTGCAGGTTAGTTTTGGATCTCATATACAAGTACGCCGTTACTAAATTATTGGGCACCAAGTGTCTCCTCGAAGAATGTGACTGGTGGAGGGATGTAGTATCTGAAGTTCAATCCTCCAGTTAATTTTGCAATATTGATACAAAAAAATTACTGGTTTACAACATTATATTATTCTGTTAGATTGGAAAAAACTTTATTTATTTATTTTTCTGTATTGCTCAACAGTCTCTGGTAACTATGCATTTAAATTGCATCTCATGATATTTTGGTGCACCATCCAGCATTTCAGTACTTAGTTATTGAGAAAATGGTGCTAGTTTTTGTAATGACTGAACCAATTGGCCCTTCTATTTTCATCCATCACTACCCCCTTTTTATTCAGGAATTTTCTTCCGGGGTCGAGAAATCTGACGTTAACCTCTACTTTCATTGTTATGCTGTCTTTTCTTTCGTCTGAGAGTTGAATTTTGTCAAGAGACGAGAATATATCAAATATCGAATCATGAAATTTGCTAAGAAAATAATAGTTTCATTCAGAAGCTGAAAATGCAGAATAATGAGACTGGTTATGACCTGGTAGGCGTTCGAGATCCATGTTTTCATAATTTCAAATTTTGAAGACATTTTTTCACAATTGAAAATTCTGCTACGAATCTCCGTAATGAAGAATTCGATTTGTGTGAATCTTTACTGTACACATGCAACTAAATAGTTTCCAAGATACATGCACAACTTTGGCAATAAAAGAAGCACACTAATCATCTCCATAAATACCGCAATGCTAGCAGTTAAAGACGACAATCAACAATTAAGTCTAGGGAACTAACATTCCAAAAAGGGCAAAATAAGACAAATCTTTAATTGTTCCAATTCACGTTTAAGAAACACAAGTCGTTCAAAGTGTGTGGCAATATTACTCTCTGCTATCCATAGGCCCCAAGGCGGACGAGTTTCCTTGCCTATCGTCCGATTGGCTGCCTCTGAAGTCCATTAAATTTGGCGAATTGGAAAGTCCAGGTTGCTGCATAAGTAAATGCAAACCGCTATTAGGGGCATGACCAAAATGCCCTTGCAATTGGTGTTGCTGCTGAAACTGGAGCATTTGATTCTGCTGCTGCTCTTGTGATCGCAGCGGATTCAGCTGGAAAGGCAACTTGCTTTGCTGCTGCTGTTGCTGCTGCTGCTGCTGCTGCTGCTGCTGCTGCTGCTGTTGTTGCTGCTGCTGTTGCTGCTGCTGCTGCACTGCTGAACTAGGAGTTTGCATCAAACGGGGATCTGCTTGTTGAGGAAATGTACTAGTCGGAACCTGCATTTTTATCATTTTTATTATTATTATTTTTATTCTTAGCAGTATATATGTCAATACAAAATAAATTGAAGATTTAAAAAGTTGATGTTTACCTGTGAAGGGGTGGTTGTGGATCCTTGAGGCTGAGCATCCGCAACTGCAGCTAAATACATTAAATTTTTCTGAAGGATGGCTTGGTACCTGTAACATTTGAAGATATACCCACGCTTTTACCAAAACTTGCTCGTATAAAAACATTGGGTGATTCTATTCAGTAAATCAATACGTGAAATAACAGTATCGATGATGGATGTGAACAGAGTGAAATGAAAAGAAAAATGAAAAAAAAGGGACCATTTTTGTGTCTAGATCTGAACCCATATTTTTCTAAAGTGAAAACCCTTCCGATTTTATTTCATATCCAAGTCATTTATTCTCCACGGTTAACGAGCTTCATTGTTCAGGAGATACTCGTTAATTAAAGCTCAAGAACACATCAAAAAAAAAAATACTAAAAATTCACACTTCTGATCAGATTCTTAACAGTCATCATGAGTCAATACTACACTTCTGATGTTAACTATTATCCAAGTCCATTGCTGCAACTAGTTATCATGCTGTGAGATTTATAAAGATATTGCTCGTTTAAACATTTACGGTTAGTCTCTCCCCTATTCAATGCCACAAAATCACAACACTTTTGAACCATCGAATTCTAACTTCACGACTTTGATTTTCTCTCGGCACACAAAATCAGGAGCTCCCACACAGTATTCAGTCTCTCCCTCACCCACAACCCAAGCGTTAACAGTTCCATGTTCGTCGCGTATTTTTATTCATCAAGCTTTAACCGAGTGAAATTTCTCACTTCATCACAATCTTTGACCCAAAAAATTTTAATCGGTTTTTAATCACACATTATTCAAACAACACCACTCGCTAAAACAACGAGGAGGCATAGCATAGCAACACACACATCAAAATCTTGTAAACCACTCTCGATGAATAAAATAACTATCATCTCTATCAAAGTAAAAGTAAAAGTGGCAAACTCACTGTGCACATTCCGCCACTTTCCCCATTTTCTGGCTTTCCAATATCGCCATGATCAAGTTCATGTTCTCATCCAAACACTGCATAAAAAAGTCGATAGTAGTTCTAAATTTTGCGGAAATGTTTAAAACTACACACACACACACACACACACACACACACACAAAAATATGTATAAATATAGCCAAAAGAACCTAAATTTGACTCTGCTCAGCTAGATTTTATACATCCAAATATTGGTTGCAAGTAAATCTAAAAAAAACAGCACAAGTTCATAAAAAGAATAAATGATAAACCCTAGTCTAGAAATGGTGTACATAGAGGAGTGAGAGTAGTACCTTCTGAATCTGCTCGGTGGAGACGAGATTGAGAGGCGTCGAAGGAGCTGAATTCATCGGCGTCTGCTGCTGCTGCTGCATTTTGTTCATTCCTGTTTTCCCCCTTTCTCTTTCAATTCTACTTCACCAGATTATTCTTAAAACCCTAGAAAGCATAAACCCTAGTCTAAGAAAATTGAAATCAAATTTTTTTGGGGGCAGAGTAAAGAAAGCAAGAATGGATTTTTCTTACAACGTATCGAATTTATAGTGTTGGCCAGTAAAGTTGAATTTTCTTTGGACAATAGTGTGTTGTTGCCTTTTATTTTCTTCTCCATTTCGGTCAAAATTGGAAATGGGAATGAAATAAAAGTCAACGATTAAATATACTTGTAATAATAATATTTCATAAATAAATTTTGAATCAAGATACCTATTTTCAATAAAGAATTTTTTTTACATATTTTTCCAAAGTCAAGCCCAATTATTGAGATTAAATTAGTGGGGTCAATTAAGTACTTAATTGTAGTTTATCAGGCCCAATAAGCTAATAGATCGGCCTAAATGTATTATAGCCCCATTACATAATAAAACATCCAACTTTGTGTTCTATCCTACACAATTTATTTATATTTACATGCCCTTCATTCCATATCATTTTTCTTTTCATATTTTAATTTTTTCAATACGAATAATTTTTAAGAACATATTTTGCAATATTATACCACCGTTAGGAGCATAAATCGAACAGGCCGGATCGAAATTAGTATTTTCAAATTGGAATCAAGAAGTTTGTTTCAAAAAAAAATATTCGAACTGGAATCGGCAGAAGTCGAAAATTTAATTTTCTTTTTTCAGTCACTCGTATCTTACTTAAATATTTCAATTTTGAATTAAAGTAGTGGACTATATTAATAAATATGAAATTGAATTTAATGGGGGGCAAGAGTTGTTGTTTCCTTGGGGGTGGTAGCTTTCAAAACAGAAAGTAGGTGGTCCATTTTGTAATTATTCGGTTGTTCCTTATGTGGAAGCAGGCATCCTTCTCTCCATCCATCTCTTCTTATTCAGATTCTTCTTCCACTTGTGCTTCAAATTTCAATATATTTTTTGTTTCTCTATAATATATTTACTTTTCTTTTTTGTCAATCAAATTTCGATAATCTTTGTATTGAATTTCATTAATTTGCATGTGAGGCCAATATTATATCACAAATTAAATTTTTTTCTAATCGCAGTTAAAAATCCATAAATTAATACAATCAAAACTAGTAAAATTTCATTAATTTTGTGAAATATTGAATTATCAAACTAACAATTTACTATAATTTTAATGAATTGGGATTGAAATAAATTATTATTTAAGCAATGTTATTAATTTATCGAAATTTTAATATACAAGCCTTACTAATTGAGTGTTAATGTAGTTTTGAGTTAACTTAATATTGATGATCAAATGAATCATATATTCAACCAACAAACTACCACTTTTCTATTTTAAAAGACAATTATTTATTATAACTAAGGTGAATTAGAAGCAATGAATAAATTAAAGTTTGTTGGCTGGTTGGAAAGGGGGGCGGGGGCGGGGGCGGGGGGTGGTTAAGGGGGTGGATAAGGGGCCGGGGTAGTTGTAGTATGTAGTGCATGTGAAGTCTCAATTATCTTCAATAGACAGCTGTCTCTTCCCCCACCTTTAATTCTTCTTGGCCCCTCATCATTAAATGTTTCAATTTCAACATTCTAATTATTTAATTTTTTTTTTTAATTATACAATTTAAATGTAGTTTATTAAGTAATATTATGATGCCATGAATATATATATTTTTAATTAATATTATATATTTAAAGATGCATTAATTATTTTAGCATATATGAAAATAATACTACATAATTATATATTAATTATTTTTATTATATATTTAAAGACGAATTATTTATCTCTTGGATAAATCTCTCTAAAGCAATTCCAGTTGTTCTAAAATTTGTCAATTTTTATCGAATTATACACAAACAATGTTTTATCAAATCATTTTTTCTGACTCACTCGAGCAGTTGTAGTTTATATTTTAAAACATTACTTTAAAATATCACTTTTTGACATCACTACTCATTACAATATGTTTTTTTATACATAATTATTATTTCTTATTATTATATTTTTGCCATTTCACCTTTTGATCTTTCAAATTTGTAGAGTGGAATTTAAAATATACCGAATGTTGTATAATATAAAACATGTGCCGGAGCTCGATTTTTCGTCAATAGTTGTAAAATATGCTAAAATTTAGTATGGCAGTGATGCTCTTATCCAATCAATTATAGTCATTTTTTTATTGGACTAGTATTACGTATTGGTTTATTATTATTCTTTTTTTGTCATTTCAACATTGCCTTTTCTCCCGTGTATTGTCAACATCACATTTAAACTTTCATTTTATTTATTTATGTATTATTTATCTTTTGCATATTCCCTTTTCAATTATATGAACATTCTATAATGGGACTTTGTGTTTAATTTAACCAATATTCATTGTCTAATATGTTTTTATTTAGTTTATTGTCAACTATAATTATAACTAGACCCTATATATACTTCTCAAAATTAAACATATTTCGCTTAAAATTTAATATTACTTAATAAGAAAGCAATTTGACTGTTGACTTTTTAAAATTTTAATTATTCCCTCTTAATCAAGCATGGAGGATAATTAAATAGGCATGCGAGTACGCGATCTAGCTGGAGGCGTTGCCACATAGACAACTATAGTAGCACTTAAGTCTTGCACATACGAGGTAAATCGATGGTTGGTTTCACCTAATGGGGTCAGTTTGGCAAGTATGTGTCAAACTTAAAAAAATAGGCTATATCAATTAGGTGAGTCGAAATGAATGTACCTAGCCCAATAAATATTGAAGAAGTAGATGGGTCCGAAGTTCACTTAAGAAAAACTCGTGGACAATGAACTCGCAGATAGAGAGTTCATCACCGGTAAGCTCGTCGCTTGCTAGCATGTCACCATGGACTCTGCTACCATATCTCAGCATGCATACGAAAAGTTATAATAAACGCTTACAATCTCTCTTCTTAATATTTTAGAGAAGTCAAGCACACGTATATTTATAATATAATTAAATTAATATAATCTTTGGTGTACAATTAAATTCTCTTATTTAGTATTTATTATTATAGAGCGGTTAAATAATAAACAGTGCGCTACTTTATCATCAGACAAAAAAGGGTGCCCCAATCCAAAGACATGTATAAATAAATTAAATTAAATTAAATTAATAATAATAGATAATAATTCAGTACGGTGGTCAAGTGCGGAAAACGATACATGTATATTAATTGCTTTTCTTTTTAATAATAATAAAAAATAATTAATTTCATCAACGGTGCGAATGTTGGAAGAATGGAAGCAGATCAAAGGCCGAGAGTGGCGGCAACCGTAATTACCAAAATGCCATCCAAACTCCCTCAAAGTTTTATTCCTCTCCTTTTGCACACATACAATACAATACACGAGAGTAAGCTGTAAGCAGTACTACCATTGAAATCCGCCATTAAAGAAGAAAATTTCTTTACGAGTATTTTTGTTCTTTTTTTGATTTTGTTTTCTAATTTTGGATATGGGTCGGTGAATATTTTATCCCCTGTTTCTTCAAAAAGCTGGTTTTTCTATTCCAGGATTTTTTATTTAAAAAAAAATAGCAATATGGAAAAAGGATGTAATACAAGTTGTTGTAGCATCAGCAGTAGTGGGTTTAGCGTTTCAGATAAGAAATCATCACCAAACAGTTTATTCGTCACTAATTCCACCAAGATTTGCATGTCGGCTGGTACTCACGGCGGCGGCGCTGGTGAAAATATTGCCCGCAGTAAAAACCCTTTTGGCGCTTATACCCCTTTTGCTCACTCCACCATCCCCTCATACAACAAGTACCCTGCAGGTAAACAAAGCAAACATGAAAACCATGGTTTCTCTCTCTATTAATTTGATTGAGTTTCTCTCTCTCTAAGAACATACATACTTTCTCTCTCTAGGTGGTGGTTCAAGTATGGAGGAGGGGTATCATCCATTCACAAGTGTGCAATGGAAAGAACTGGAAAGACAAGCCATGATATACAAGTACATGATTTCATCCGTACCCGTCCCTCTCGATCTTCTCTTCCCGCCTCCTATTATTGTTAATTCATCACCACCACCACCACCTAGTAGTTATTCGAAAACCGGAGATCTGGAGCCCGGCCGGTGCAAGAGAACCGACGGCAAGAAGTGGCGGTGCTCCAGAGATGTGGCCCCCACTCAAAAGTACTGCGACCGCCACCTCCACCGCGGCCGCCCCCGTTCAAGAAAGCCTGTGGAAACCACTTCTACTACTACTACTCTACCCCATAAACATAATAATAATAATATTATTCTTAATCCCCACAAGAAAATACGCACAACTCATCATCAGATTGTTTCTGCAAATCCAAATGCAAATGAACCCCTTTTGTTCTTCAACCCTCCTAAATCCGATCTCACTAATAGGTACTTTCTTCAATTAGTTAATTTGTTTTGCTTTATGTTATTAATCCAATTTAATTTTTTTGGGGGTTTTGAAATTGAAGGGGTCTGGTGTTAAACGACGTCGTTGCGGAAGGAAAAGAGGGGTTTTCTGATTACAGACCTATCTTCCATGAAGATTATTCTCGTGCGTTCTGTAATCAGAATTTCAGCCCACCTGAAATTGAAGTGCCGAATAATGGATTCATCGATGCCTGGTCTTCAATTGATGATTACAATCTGAATAGCAGCAGCAACGGCGGCGGCGGCGGAGATCTGTCGTCGCCGACTTCGCTGAATCTGTCGATCGGAAGTAGGGTAAAGGAGTCGGTATGGTTCGCAGGTGGGGGCCCACTCGGAGAGGCGCTTTCGTCGCCGGCGGCGACCACTGTTTCTTCGCCGTCGGGTGTTCTTCAGAGGACGATGTTTTCGCACTCCGATGGCGGCAGTGTTTGCAATAGCCCTACTGCTTTTGCTGCAGATGCTCCACTCTACTGGCTCAATTAGATCTCCCTTTCATTTTCATTTATTTTATTATTATTATTATTAATTTAAATATCGGTTTTTTTAAATTTCATTTCTGGGGATTTTGTGTTTTGTGTTGGATTAAACTAATAATTAATAATGTTTTTTTTTTTTTTTTATCATAAAGGCGTTGTTGCGCTTACTTTTACATATGACTGCATAAATGATTTATTTTATTCGATGGACAATTTGCAATTAATTAAGGACACGTGTACATGTGTAGTATTAATTAGTAAAATGCAATAACAGAAAAAAAAAAAAAAAAAAAAAAAAAAAAGGGTTTGGAGCTTGAAATAATGAAACAAGAGTACGTTAGAGATGGCTGGGTCTGGTTATGTTGTACTATGTACAATATTGGGATATCAAAGATAACCGAACACAACTAAGTAATGGATTTTTTGAAAATAACCAAGTAAAAAAAAAACGAAGTAATGGATTTTGTCTCGTTTCTGAGAATTCGGAGGTCCGCTACGAGATTTGAATAACAACTCAAAACAGGGCCCACCTTATGTAGTGTCGAATTCCAAAATTCATTTAAGGGTGAAACTCTTTTTTTCTTATATAGAAAATTTAAGGGTGAAACTGAATATACTAAAAAAATATAAATAACATTTGAAAAACTGATGGATTAAATGATTATAGGGGTTCGGGGGCAATCCCTCGAAATATTTATTGAGATCTATGAAACTAAAATAGCACAAATTTTGTAAAATTTGAAATTAACATGATGGAATATTACGGGTTTTTTTTTCTAAATAAATAACATATTGCTTCATTAAATATACAAGAAGTGTAGGAATGATTAAACACTACATATTTATGTTATGACATTAAATGTACAACAAGTTGATATGGCCGAGTTGGTCTAAGGCGCCAGATTAAGGTTCTGGTCCGAAAGGGCGTGGGTTCGAATCCCACTGTCAACATATATTTTATTTTGCCCATTTTTTATTTTTGCCCAAAAAAAAAAAACAATTATAATATTTTATTTTGCCCATTTTTTATTTTTAATAAAATATGACTCACAACTGGACTTGTTAAAATAAACTTGCTGGACCGGCCAAAAGTGTGTGCGAATGTACGTTTATGTGTGTCCAAAGGTATGTGTATGTGTGTTCGGGTTCGTGTATATGCTTATGTGAAAAGTGTGTCCGAGGGTATGTTTATGTGTGTCCAAAGGTATGCGTATGTGTGTCAACAGCGCGTATTTGAGCGGGTATGTTTATGTGAGCGTAAATATGTGTAAGTGTAAGAGTTAAGAGTATATCGAATTTGGACCAAATAAGTTGAGATATTCAACCTCGTAAGTTGAAATATGAAACCAAATAAGATGAGTTACAGATGCAACGGATCCATATGAATCCCATCGGGGTCGGTCCTAGTCCGATCTACTTTGAATCCATTCATATAGGTTTAACTGGCTCCAACTCTTTTTAAATCCGATCCACATGGATCCAGACCAAATCCCGCCTAAGTTGAGTACCCCTAGCTAAAATTAAAAACGACAAAAAATAATAATAATAATAATAATAATAATTAAAAAAAAAATCTTATTCTTCAAAAATAAGATTTAGAGCATCATTATAAATTCCAAAAAAAAAGTCCTAAAAGAAAAAGAATAAAGAAAAAAAGGAAAAAATTCCCAAGCATCAAAAGTCAAAACAGATGAATTCCACCGAGTCCATGAAAATTAAGTTCACTGATGATAGTTTTTAACAAGGAATTATCCATGAAAAAACACTACTCTGAGGCATCATTGCTACTCAAGTCAAACATATTCTTAAACCATAATTAACAACTGAAAGCCTCGAAAATGGTCTTACTCTCTACAAGCTTAACGGTTAAACCACGAATATCCGATGCCCGTGATCGATCGGAATCAGCCTAGATACCACGAACGAGAAAAGAAAAAGAAAAAAAACCCCCCACAGATGCCACAAAGTACCTTAAAGTTATCAGTCTCTTGTATGTATATATAATTATATATAGATAGAGATAGAGAGAGAAAATAGATTTGTTTTATGACTCGAGAGAAAACTCGACCGAGGGTTTTTAGTGCATGGATTGGCGGGGCGAACGGGGTCGGACTGGAGTCTTTGACGGACTTACCCTGCGAAAACGAGTATTATATATATGGTTATAAAACATATTTTTTATTTTCAGTAAAATTGCAGGGGGGTAAAAAGGGAAATATTCAAACCTTATAGGCAGTGATCCTAAGACGGCACCGCTGCAGTTCAGAGCACCAATTGCACTTTCAGCCTGCTCAAATAATAGGGAGAATTGGTTAGAAATTGAAAATTCGATTCAAACTGTAGGCCGAAAAGAAATTACTAGAACGCCCTCCCGACCGGGATGACATAAATAGAAGAAAGAGGAAAAAAAAAAAACATAAACCCCAAATACTTAAAGACAGTCATCATAGATATACGAGAAATAGGAACAACTTAATGCTTAATGGTACGTACACTGAGAAAATTTACGAGAAAATTGGAAGTAATGTGAATAATAATTGAGGCAAATAATGATAAAGAACGAGACTTTTAGAAAATGGAAGTTATACGAAGCTCCTTTCTAATTCAATAAAGGCAATCTTTACACTGCAGCTTCGTTCCCCAAAGAATAAGAAATACTGGTAATTCAATTTTTATTTTTTTTTAAGACTGTAATAATTTGTTAGTTTCGATGCATATGCAACTAAAACATCTCTCACGACTTTAACATTTTTTACATAAATAAAACTAGCAGTGAACCTATTACGACGTCAAATCAACGGTAACATGTATACAACAGAAAAAATACTGAATATGTAAAAGTTATCACTTGTCCATTTACAAAGTATGAAGTCGAGCTAAAATTTCATCTAATATGGATTAATGTAGAGTGAAACGTGGTTAAGTACTCTAGAATAAATAAGTGGCTGACAGATCGAAAATACTATTTCATTGTATTTGTGCAGAGAAAACAGATTAAAAAGTAGCTGAAATGTAGCGTAAAAGGAACACCGAGCATTCATCAAAGAAGTTCTGATTAGGCTAGAAAGAACTGCGTAAGTTAAGCAAAAGGCTATTATTAATCTCACCATTACAAACTCCACAAAAGCGATGCGAGTTGAATGATGATAGTCGCCGAGCAACCTCAAGCGATGAACCTAAGAAAACAGATTTAAGCAATGGCATCGGTATAAAATTTCAAAAAATCATTCAAAGTTAGCGTATCAGCAGTTTGTACCTCGCCACAGATGGACTCGAAGAAGAGTTTCACATCCGCTTGGGTCACCTGTATTTAAAGCAAAATATAAATAAATAAAATAAAATAAATCGTGCTTGCTGTCAAGTAAGTGGTAGTTAAGAACATGACAAGAGGGTTTTGAATTCCGAAGCTGCTAACCTTTTTATCGATATTTGTACAATAAATAGTTCTTGCACACATCTCCCTTTCATCCTCAGACTATTGTCATAGATACCAAAAACCACAAAAATAAAAATTAAAATTAAGTCTTTAATGCTCGTAACATATCAAAGATCAAACACGTATTGCGAGTAAAATGTATCTCACCCTAGGCAAGAATGTGGGATTAACGGGTGCAATTGCAGTTTTGGAAGGCAGTACTTTCACTGGGTAATAGCCAAGCATCGTTCCTCCCATACTCAACGCATTCCTTGCCCCCTCTGCAATTCGCGTGCGACACAAATTCAATCAAACACAACCCCCGTATATTATTTTTTTTTAAATAAACAACAAAATAAGAAGTTGACCCCACATACCCTCATCAGTGAACTCAACGAACGCAAAACGAAGTACAGAATTAGGGTCGCCACAAACACGACAATCCACAACCTTCACCAAAAACAACATGAAAAAAAAATTAAAAAACATTGTTATCGTAAATGCAGATCCGATCAAGTACTAAAAACACGTATATATGATAATATTTGTGCATGTGTGTGTAGTGTGTGTGTGTGTACCTGCCCACAGCTAATGAAAAGGGCTGCAAGTTGCTCCTCGGTAACCTACATTCATCGCAAGAAAAGGCCTTTATTAAATTACTTAATTATGTCAATAAAAATAAGAAACGAATAACGAAAAATCACCAAAAATCCAAAATGAAGTTTCTTTACCTGATGATCGATATCAGAAACGTACACAGTCCTCCTAATCACATCTTCTCTTTGAGCAACGCTCGTTCTACTATTCATCCTCCGTTTACCGTGAGTATACCCGTTTTTCTTCTGCATATTACAAAACAATCATCATAACCAAATTGCCACCTAGAAAAACCCCTATTAACAAAAAGGACAATAGAAAAGACCGTATCTTTATCATATAAGCTGTTGTCATGATCATGCCCCGAAATTAAATTTCGACGATACAATTTTTGGCTTCTATTTACCCCAAAACGAAAAAATCGGCTTCAATCCGAAACACTCAAAGAAACATTAAAATAAAGATTAATAGACTAACCTTCCTAAAAGAAGAATTTTCATTTGGGAGGCCTGGGTTAACGAGGTGTTGAATCACGAAACCATTCGCAGTATACCCAAAATGCCCCGCCGCAGCTGCTGCCACTTGTGGTGGCGGCGCCGCCACCATCAGCCCGTGGTGAAGGCCGCCGCCGAAGACCACGGTCGCCATGGACGGCGGCACGAATTCCTTCGCCATGGGGTTCAATTTCGAGAGCATTTCCTCCAAATCCCTCATCTCCCTCTTGAACCCCTCCTCTCCTCCATCATCGCCGCCCCCGTTAACTTTCACCTCCTCCACGTGATGACGGCCGTCGTCGCCGCCGCCGCCGCCGCCGTTAATTGTGTTTTCCAGCTGATGGTGGTGGTGGCCGTTGGATACTTTCTGCTGGGCCAGGTGGTGGTTCTGATCGGCGGGCTTAGTTGACTTTTGGCCGTTAGCGGCGGCGGCTTTGGTCGACTGCTGGTGATCCGCCGCCGCGTCGTTGTGCTGCCCATCCCGATTCGACGGCGCCACCGCGTCCACACCCGCATTTTCCACCACCGCCATGATCGGAAAAACCTTCCAAAAGATTCCCCCCCTTTCTTCCACTCCCCGCTTGTTTATTCTCTTAATCACAACACTGTCAAAAGTACAACAAAAATAAAAAATAAAAAATTCAACAATAATAAACCAGAAAATCTAGATAAATCATTTACTCCAACGGATCAAAAAGCCTGGAATTTTCATATCAAAATCAACAACATTAAATACAAAAAAAAAAAGGGGGATTATTTCTGAACCTGATGATTAGAGGTTTAAACGGTGTTCATTGAGCAATAAACTGAAAGATCTTGAGCTATGGAACAAAGGAAGAAACCACTGCTTTTTTTTTTGCCCCTTTTCTTTTTTATTATTTTATTTGCGAGAATATTTTACTGAGTCTGCAAAGAGAAGATACATACATACATACATAGAGAAATGAAATAGTACTTGCTAGTAATCATAGTCTATGTTTATCTGTAGAGAGAGAAACAGAAAAATATATAATAATATATATTTTTTAATTTGCGAAAATAATAATAAATTATTATTAAATTATTTATTCCATATTTGTTGTATTTTAATTGGAATAGTGCTTTCTTTGTTCACAACGCCCAAAAAATATGATGAGAGAGAAGTGGAGATGACAGAGGGGACCCCAAACCTACTATGTGATCAGAATTTAGAGCACATTTCTTTTTTCTTTTTTTCTTTTTTTTTTTTTTTTTTTATTCTTTTTTATGATATATGTTTTTAGGGTCGCGAATTACGAAAAAATTCATCGTGTTTAGGTAATTACAATTTACAATCGCTTCTCAACTATGAATTTTATCACACGTACACCCTTACGGTATCAAATTCAACAGAGTCTTCTAGATTCCGCGAAAAGTTCTCTAGTTTGTACTCGTTTTTTTGTAAAAGTACAGTTTCTGATGCACCACAATCTGATAATTACAAGCCAAGATATACATTTTATGATCGTCTTGTTTCAGAATGTGGAGCTAGAATGGGGTAAAATGAGTACAAACTGAAGAATATTTCATATACTATGGAAGATTCCACTAAATTTGACACTGCGAAGATGGACGTGTAAGAAGATTAGTAGTTGAGGAGAGTGGTTGTAATTTACCAAACATGGGGGGTTTTTTGTAATTTGACCTTACGTCAAGGGTTTGGCTGTAATTTACCTATGTCTTTATTTATTTATTTATTTATTTCATTTTCCCTTTTTTGTCCTTGTCCAAGTGATTTTGGTAATTATGGCGGAATCATGGTTAATAATTGCAGGATCATCTCAATGCGGTTGTTAAAAATGTTATTTGTATATATATGATTTTAATGTCATTAATTTTTTTACACTTTCTTAAAGCTATGGATTTTATTGGATAAAATTTATTATTTTTAAGTATTATGTTTAAGATTAATATTATGCAATTTATTACTGAATTCTCTCTCTATATATAAATATAAAACAGAATGTTTATTATGTGATTTATTCATAGATTTTACATCCATACTATGGATTCTAAATAATAAAATAGGTCTATATGATTACCAATTGATGGGTAAAAGTGACCAAATCAGTAAATAAATGGTAATTCTATTGAAGTAGGTTTCATTAATCGAGAATTTCATCGGCTTATATTTTACCATATACGCGTTTAGATTTATATATATTTATATATATGATTGTGTATAAATTAAAAATTACTGGAATTTGGTAAAACAAATTTGTCATTAGTATTTTAAACAATTTTACAGTATTCGTGGTTTGGTATTAATGAAATAAAATTTTAGATATTTCGCGTTATTGTTTCGAAAAACGAAGAAAAATAATGATAATAAGTATTTTTAATTTTCTTTCTGAAATAGTAACTCTCGTTCTCAGCTATCTACTACTGCTTTGATTGATAAAATTGATTGAAGTGTTGGCGAAAATTACAGGTTTTAATGATCAATTAAAGATGGGCTAATGGGATTGTTTGACCCTTTGGAAAGGAATATTCGATTTTAGCCAATTTCGATCTTTTTTTATATATATCTAGAAAAATATTTTGAGTTTTGAAAATTCTTATTATCTTATATGCATTTTATATTTGAAGTGACTAAAAATTTGGAATCTTTTAATATCTCTTTATTCCAATTCTAAAATTTTCGAATTAGGAAAAAATAGTTTAAAAAACATAATTAGTGATCTATCATAAATTAAAATCTGAATTCAGTAATTATGCCTTTTACCTCTGTTTCTACACTATATCAAGGATAATTTCTCTAATTTTCCTATATTTGTTGTCATGTAGTTGATAATTAAAACAAGAAAAGCGTAATATTACTTAGAAGGGCGAATGGCAAAAAGGTCCATCACATGGGACTTAAATGCATTTTGGTCAAAAAAAAAAACAGTCTCTCAATTAAACTCATCCCCATGTATTTAGTCTAAAATACCCTCCATAATATAATTCTTATCAATTCCACCCATTATGCTCTAACTTCCTTAATATTACACATTGACCCCGGATTTAAACAAATATATCACATTAACCCCCAAATTATTTTTTTCAGAAAATAATTTTTTTTCTGAAATGTATTTTTTTCCGGTCAGATTCCGGCGTAGACTTTTTTTACTTTTTTTTTTTGAAAACCTTTTTTTTTTCCTGAAATTTTTTTCCGGCCGGTCAACCACCGTTGACCGCCGGTCTCCGGCGTTGACTTTTTTTTTTTTTTTTTTGAATTTCAGGAAAAAAAAAGTTTTTCAAAAAAATAAAAAAAAAAATATAAAAGTCAACGGCGGCGACCGGCGGTCTCCGGTGGTAGCGGGTCAAAATTGAAATTATGGGTAAAATTGGTTAATTGATGAAATTGGGCTATATTGGGGTGTATATCATGAAATTAGAGTGGAATTGGATTTCTATGTATTAGGGGTAATTTTGGTATATATAGAAGAATTTTCCTTATTTGCAAATAAGTTTGAATGGGCTAGATTTATTTGAAAGACAAAAAAATTGGATGTCCATCTTTTAATTAAGTGCCCTTGTCATGGGCCTATTTGTCATTTACCCTATTTAAAAAACAATACAATAATCCGGGTAATTAGCCAAAATATTAGCCACTTGGCCAGTATTTTAAGGTTTTGTACATTCTTCACTCGATAAAATCCATCGAATATTCCTACACCGCTGATCTACACATATTAACACACATATTTATGTGCACGTGTATATATAGGGTAAATAGGTATTTGTATAGATTTATAATGTAAAATCTCCCAGTGATTTTCTATATATGTTTATATATATATATATATATATATATATATATATATATATATATATATATATATATATATATATATATATGAAACAATAATATGATAATATAGTCAAAATAAAATAAAATAAAATAATTTGACTTTAAACCCCGGCTAAAATAGCATACATTATATGACTGACTTGTGAATTCAATATTCAAACATGTGATAATGCACCATAGACTTTACTTACGTACACTACACCGTCGGGGAAGAGGAGTTTTCTACACGGCGGGCCAGCCAGCCAATCAACAAAGCCGGCCGCCGTACTGTTACGGCGATTGCCGTCGGTTAAACTACAAATATAATACTAGTTAGTATATGTTTGAATTTATTCTATATTGGATCATTTGAAATTATTCAATCTAATGGATATTATTCAACTAGGGCTGGACATGAGTCGGTTTTATCGGTCAATCCATCAACATTCGACCCGTTTTGGCCGATTTTTTTTTTTTTTGTCGGTGGTGGATTCTGAGTTTACTCAAAAGTCGGTTGGTCGGTAATGTCGGTCATCCGAGTTTTTTAATATAGAAAAATTATAATAAGTATTCCATTGTAATTCTTATTTTCTCAACGTTGAAATAATATATAAAAGAAGTCAAATTCAAAAAACCGAAACACAAATTTATAAATCTCTACGTATTATTTCTATTTTATAATTCTTATTTCATATTCTTCATCATATACTTACTTATTGTATAAGTTTAATAAATAAAGACTCTGAATTTAAAGTTAAGATTTTTACAATATAAGTTTTTCCAATTTTTTAAGTATTCTATGATTTTCTTTTAAACAACATACTATTGTAAAAAATATAAAATAAATAAATAAATTAAACAAATAGTTGGTCGATAATACCATCAACGACCCATTGTTTACCTGACAAAGTCGGTTGCCGGCCATTATCCAATCCATAATAGTCGGGCTGATAATAACTTTTAATATTCAATAAAATCTGGTGGTCGAGTTGAATAAATAATTGGCCGAAAATTGCCCTATCCGACCCACATCCAGCCCTACATTCAACTATATCAACTCAAATGCAAGATTTATGTTGCATTTAGATGGCGTGATTTGAACTTAATTTTCTTTTTCTTCTAAATAACGAAATTAAACATGTTTGAATGTGATGTTACCCCTATGGCTTTGCATATTAGTATTATTTAATTGAAATATACTCAAAATAAAAAGTAATTAGTGGACCACTAAACTTAATTTGATGGAGCCTAATTATGTACTGAAATGACAAGATAACCTATTTGTTTAGCAGATAATCCATCAACTTTTAATCCTGGCCGTCAATAAGAAGGACCACATGCGTTTAATCATGTGTTTAATTACACGGATGTGGCTAATGGTCTGTTTCTTGCCACGTCGACAGTAACAAAAATCCATACGACAAGGCAGAAGAGAAAGTCGTGTGTGCAACTAACGAAAGTGACCGAAAATAAGCGAAAATCGTCAAAATATTAAAACTTGTTCTAATTCCATTTAGATTAAAATAAACGAAATAAAAATAGAACAACTAAAACATGTTCCAAAATCGGAATTTTTTAGATGTAATCGACGAAATTTAGAATTTTCATATTTTTAGTCATATGTATTATAAAATACATTATAATATTTATATTATAAGTGTACTTTTCGAACTAAAATGGCATTTTCGTTAGTATTTTGAAAAATTATAATCAGAGTGGAAATCAAAGTCTAATATGTATTCATTTACGAAATAGAAACTTTCACAAATCATAATGAAAAATATTGTTAAAAAATTCGAAAATATTCGTACATAAATCGGCAAAATTAAGATATTTTTTATTCCAATTTCCACCCCTACTCTAATCTAATTTTACATAAAAATATACGATTTTAGTGGTACCTTTGTTTTGATCAAAATTCTTTTTAAAAAATATAAGAAAAATAATACTATTGAAAGATAATTTTACATTTTTGTATGTAAGATACTAATTATCAATATTGAAATACAAAATAATCTGACTGTACAAGTGTAAAGTCCTTTCCTTTTACGTGAAAAAAATGTTAGGGGTGTATTTGTATTTTGAGCAAACTTGAGTACTTGTACAGCAAAATATAAAATTAAGGATATAGTGATCCAGTACCGTACGCTGAGCCCTAAAAACTCGACCGTGAATTTTTTTGTTGAAGCGCCGCCCAAACTTCAACAGAGGTATGCATGCGAATCGCTCAATTTTAAATTATCGCAACCCTAATCAAGAATTCTTCCTCCAAATTCAGGCAATATTCTTGATTTTTGATGATTATTGAACACTCGTAATAATTTTTTTTTTCAGAATCGAGCTTCGAGTTTAAGAAGCCCTAGCTGTACGAGGCGCGTTGGATTGTCCGCCCCGTAAAGTTGATCGGCGCGTGGAGTTAAGCTGGTGGTGCGGATTGTTTGGTCTGGTATGTTTTATCTTGTCCATGTGAAAATAAGCAGTCTTGCTAGCTAGGGTTTTCAAGAAAGTTGTAATTAGGGATTTGGAATTTCTAATCTGAACATTTTCTTTAGAATTTTGGAAGGAATGGTGTCTTTGTTTTTCAATCCAAGCCTTTCAGGATGAGCACGTGGCTTCCATTTTCAATTCCTCGGACATACGTTTGTCTCTGTTTAGATCTAGGGTTTATTTGAGGAACATGATGAGTAATATTGTTGAAAAGTAAATGACACAACATTTTTGCCTTTGCATTTTGGGGAAAATGTTATGCCTTTCATACTTATTTGAGCGTCATCGTATTTAACATTAGTGAGATCGATTACCGCTTGGAACAAAGAATATGAATGTTTGATTCATTGCGATTGCCAATGGGTTTTTTGTGAATACATTAATAAAATATCTTTTATCGAAGTACTTTTTAGGACATCCTTTCACCTTTCACTTTAAGCCGGGATGTTGGGGTTGAGCCGAAGCTTCAAGAAATTTGAATTATTATTTACTGCCGTTCAGTTACATAAACCACATGATGATATACTGTTCCATAACACTTGTTGGGGGACTATCTGAATTGCAGAGAATGGACCCTAGAAAAGCTTTCCGAATGAAGTCTCCATTAGTAATTTCTGCAATCATACTTGTTAGGTTTTACTTTTTAGTCTTACAAGCCTTCTCCATATGCTCATTGTTTTGGTTGACTTTTTTTCGTGCATCCCAATTTGCCCTGAACTTTTTCACGGGCACATAGTGTAAGCAATTGCTGAATCTCGAGCCATTAGAATTTGGTTTTCTAGTCTATCAAACAGAGTCTATATATCTATTTCTATATCTATATCCATATCTATATTTTTAAAAGAATTAACAATCACATTTGTAAATACTATTTATAAAGTTACAGTTTAAAAGGGGAAAAATCTTTGACACTGAAACCCTGATATTATACATATCCCAAGATCATTGTTTTCTTCACCGAGTAAAGAAATCTGAATAAGGTGAATACATAAGCATATGAAGGTGTTGCTTCATCTCATGACACATGCTTTGTTTATGATAGATGTCAAGCGCTTGGACAAATTTGAGCTTTGGAATCATACATAGGGATGTAGAATGGGAGTGGGAGAATTCTGGGTGGAGTCTTTGGTATATTTATATAATTGGAAGTTATTGGAAGTTCTTGCTTGCTTTGCTCTCTGAAGAGCTATTCCTCGGGCAAAATTTTAGAGAGGATGAGGAGGTCATATTTTAATTCAAATAAATAATAGCTTTGGAGTATCTTGGAGCATATGAGCATTGGAGCTTGTGGAGCAACGCTCACCTCAAGGATTGCTCTATTGGTTTGCTTCATAAGTTTTATTTTTTATTTCCCTTGTGTTAATCACTCAGATTGTGACAGAAAATGTGTAGGATCATTTAAGCTGACATCGTGCACTGTTTTAGCTTGATCTCTCGTTTACAAAGTATTTTGTGTCTGCAGTATCGACTATTGACTTCATCTTCAAGGACCAAAAATGAGTGGCCGTTTTTCTCGTACAATTTATGTGGGGAACCTTCCTGCTGATATCAGAGAATCAGAAATTGAAGACTTATTTTACAAGGTTTGAGTTAACACTATTCATCTTTACCATTTCCATTGCTTTGTTGGGTTTCAGCACTCATGTTGATGTGACCAATTTAGACAAGAAATATCTCCTACTATGTACTGTTCTGCTTGTTGTTGGCCCTGCATTAGAGCTTTATAAAAATTCACAACTTTTCCTTTTTAAACCTTCCAAGCACTAGCAAATCCCTCTTCCCCAATTCGTAAAAGAATTATCTTCAGTAGAAATGTATGTCAAATGTGATGCGCATATGATGGATTTTTAAAATGTTTTTTTCTTCACTTCGTCTGATGAAGTCCTCGATAGCTATGAATGCAAATGTCTTCTATTAATATTATTGTTTATTTGTCTTTAGTGTGTCAGATTAATCTTAAAATGTATGTTTCTATTGCATTTATGCTTGAACTATTATTGTTTCATATAATTGTGTTCTGATCTTGCAGTATGGTCGGATATTGGATATTGAATTGAAGATTCCACCTCGTCCACCTTGCTATTGTTTTGTGGAGGTAATTTTACTGCCATGTACTAATATATTAAACAGTTGTATGATTATGTGTGTACAATTTTTGCCCCAATTTGCGCATCCTTTTTTTTTTTTTTTTTTTTTTTTTTTTTTTTTTAACTCCTAGAAATTTATGGTTATCAATTTTCTGATTTTGACTTGTGTACAGTTTGAGAGTTCACGCGATGCCGAAAATGCTATCAGGGGTAGAGATGGCTATAACTTTGATGGCTGTCGATTGAGGGTGAGAACGGTTAACAAAAGTTGAAGAAAATTGCTCTTTTACGTTTTCTCTTGATTATTTATTTGTAATGGCCTTGCTGCTAAACGTAGGTTGAGCTTGCCCACGGGGGTAGAGGTCCATCGTCTTCAAGTGATCGCCGTGGTGGATATGGTGGAGGTGGCAGTAGTGGTGGTGGTGGCGGTGGTCGTGGTGATAGCCGAGGTGATGGCGGCGGTGGAGGTGGAAGTGGAGGTGGTCGTTTTGGCGCTTCCCGTCACTCAGACTATCGAGGTTGTTACGGATTTACTATGATTCTTGTCAGATATGCTGAATTCGGATACTCTTCCTTTTCTTTATTACCATCTTCTGAATATCCCTTTATCTGGTTGTGATTTTGTTCTCTAGTTATTGTTCGTTCGCTTCCTTCTTCTGCTTCTTGGCAAGATTTGAAGGTTAGTTAAGTAGTATATCCTGTAAGTTAAGTTGTTTAGAGTTAGCTAGATTTGTTTTTAACTTTTCTTTTGAAAAATGTTTCAGGATCATATGCGGAAAGCTGGGGATGTCTGTTTTGCTGAAGTTTCTCGTGACAGTGAAGGTATTACTTGAATACCTCCGCGTGATATAATGTGTTGCATTTTGTGTTTGATTTTTTCATTATCTTTCATCAGTCTGCCTGCATGCCAATAATATTTGGTGAACTTTTTGACCATTGTATACATTTCAGTTGTGTTCTTATTCTGGCTTCTCTACTCCTTGGCTCAAATGCAGGAACCTATGGCTTAGTTGATTATACCAACTATGAAGACATGAAATATGCTGTAAGTTAAAAACTTTCTGCGGAGTTGCTTAGCTTTTGTTATTCGTATATGTCCGCTCACACGATTTTGAATTACTAGATCCGTAAACTTGATGATACTGAGTTCAGAAATCCTTGGACAAGAACTTATATCCGGGTACCTTCTTATTTCCTCCATTCGTTGATTTTTTTGTTTTTAATTGTTTGTCTTTGTTCATATCTCAAATTATGAAATCAGCAACCTTTGTCATTCATTTTTGTTTGCTTGTTTTTATCTATTTCCATTTTTTTTTTTGTTGCTTTTGGTACACCATGTAATCCAGGTAAAGGAATACAAAGGCAGTCCGTCGAGGAGCCGAAGTAGGAGTCGAAGTAGAAGCAGAAGTCCTAGGAGAAGAAGGTAGTTAGTATAGGCACCTACTTGTCTTAGTTGAAGTTATTCAGACTTAACATTCGGAAGGGATTTTACATTAAGTGAGACTGAAGATTTATTTATATTTTTGCAGCAGGTCACTGGACCGTTCAGTTTCAAGATCACCATCAGCGTCTCCTGTTAAATCATCCAGGTATATGTGGAACCCGTATTTTGATTCTAATGCAGTCATTTAGTGCGAGTTCATTATTTTAACCACATTTGCCTAAATGTACAGACCAAGGTCCAGGTCAAAGTCGAGATCGAGGTCAAAGTCGAGGTCTGCATCTCCTCCTCGTCAGGTAATTACACCATGTTGAACTGATTCGTGCAAGAAATTCTCGACTGTTCAGTTGTCTATATTGTTTGGGGAATTTAAATGTTTGACGTTCTTAAAAGTAATGATTTTTATTGCAGGCAAAGTCTGGTGGCAGTCTCTGATAGTCTCAGCAAAAACGGGCCGTAGTTTTTTTCGATGCAAGAGTCTTTTGTCGTATGGAAATCAGGAAATGTCATTCTGGATTGAGTAATATCATTAGAACTTGACATGTTTATTTTACGCATTCTGGAGATTGGATTGAACTCCACTAGTATCTTTCTCTCTGAACCATTTTGTCGATTCTGGATATTGTTTGTTTAGGATTTCTGTACTTAATTCTGGATATTGTTCGTTTAGGATTTCTGTACTTTACCAAACATTTGTCTATTGCGATTTGTTAAGTTATGTGGACATGATGTTTTGTAAGAAGCACTCTACATAGAAAAAAAGCACTTAGGTCCAAAATCAAAATGGTCCAAAATCAAAATGCTTCCACACGTGTACTCAGAAACATAATTTTTAACAAACTTTTTCGCTATACAAATGAGAAAATTCTAGTGTGAAATTTACGTTATCAAAGAGACATTCGATTATGATATGAAACAATATCTCGTTCAAAACAAAGATAAAGAAGAAATCAAATGACATCAATAAACGGAAGTACGATTAATGTTTTGCAATTAAAATTTGATAAGTCATAAAGTTTTGGTATGTGTTTCCGTCATTCAGATTCTGTACAGTCCAAGTTATATTGTCCCTGTAATTTTGCGATTCGACAAGTCTGCCTGCAGCCTTGCGGCGATTTGCTCAGCAATTTTAAGAATATAAACCTGCAAATCAAATAAATCACTGACCATTAATCCATCTTTAATTATTCTTGTTCTTTCTGGGGATACGAAAACATAAATAAAAAACAAGTATTGAAGGTGAAGATCAAACACGTTTATTTTTTTCAGATCTCTAGTTAAATTGGTAAATAAAAAAAAACGAGGTGAAGAACCTTATCGACTCCAGCATTTTTATTGAGGAGTGCCTCAACAATAATTTCCGGTGCTTCTGCTATAGCGGCTATAACTTTTTTTGCTCCAGCGATGATAGGGCCAATTTCTCCTATAAATCCAACAAGAAACTAAGTGTCATCTTCAATCCATAATCTAATGATACATTTGAATCAATAAATCAAATATTGTCAGGGATAGAAAAAAAAAATGAACTTAAAGGACAAGCATTCCACCAGTAAAAACAATAAATAATAACTGTTTTTGTGTCGGTATTTTGTTTAAATTCTTTTAAAGTAATTTATAAAAGACATGCAACAAAAAAAAAAAAAACCCATGACATTGTCAAGGAGCAGCACTGGAACAAAGACACGAGTCTATTTTCTTTTTACGGGGGAGGGATGCAAGTTTTGTGTTCATCCATACGAGTCATAAGATGTTATCTATCTAGTCTTGAAAGTTCTCCAGTCTTGATATTTTTAAGACGTAATAGAATCGAAGAGGTAAGAAACCAAGATGATCAATATCGTGCCTCAGACTCACTGTACACGGTTCATTTATTTTTTAGCTGAACAAGATTTCATATATTTCGTTATCCAAATTGACACACATTTTGGCTTGAAAAAGAATTTTAAATCCCACATGTCAGCAATCATTAAAATGGAAAAAATGCAAACTAACAGCTAAAGGAAACGAACCCATTACCATCACATTCTAAAACTCGAACTCTCCTTTCTCGTTCTGCTTGAGACTGCACTCTACGTACGGAAGATATTTCCGCTGAATTTCATGAAGTAAATCAAAGATGCATATAAGACGAAGCAAGATACGATAGATTAATCAAACAAAGGAATATTTTTTTTCATAAAATATACCCACTTATTTTATAACGGCACTCTAAGCCCCAGTTTCGAGCAGCTTGATTGATGGAAATCTGCACACATTCGTTTTGCCAATGAGTTATTTTCATATGGTTTCTTACTAGCTGCTAGTTCCATACATAAGAAAACAATAACCAAACAGATATAACCCTCAGATCACAATCAAATACGACGACAAACTCATGTAAAAGTCAACTTGACACTGATATATTAAACATTCAAGGTAAAGCAGTTCACATTACATGCTATGCTTAGAATGTAAATGTACAGAGTGCATCGACACTATGCTATGGAGCCAATCCTAACCATTGAGAGCTCTAAAATAATAGAAATGTAATAAATCCTAAAATAAAAACGTGCATAATTAAATTAAATAACTTGAACATCAAGTCGACTTCTCGATCACCCAACTAAACTCCCGTAGACATTTGGGAACATGAAAAGTAAAGCAGTTCACATACTATGCTTAGACTGTAAATGTATAGAGTGCATCGACACTCTTCTTCATGTGTAAAAAGCAAAAGGCAACACATACCGATCCGGCCATACGAATCACATAATGAAAGAGTAAAAGAAGCTTTGGCTAAGAAATGAGAAACATGCATAGGATATAATTTAATTTCGTTTTAAGAGTAAACAAAGCTACACTGAGGAGAATATCGTGCAACCATGCAGTGTACTTTAAAATTATCCAAGCATGAAATACTCACCACTATCTTCTCATTGAGTGTGTTTCTTTCCTCCGTGTTGTCGATAGTGATCTTACGAAGCTTACTTCGGATAGTTGTTTGTGCAAGCTGAATCAGAGCATCCAATGGATTCTTAAGATGCTTAACTCCATAAGATACCAACATAGGGTCAACGATCTTCGCAACGCGAAAAAACGAAAAAAGAAAATGGATGTCGTCAGCATTCACTTAGAATCTCATTTAATCAATTTATTTAAGCCGTACCAAATAAACACATACCTTCACATAGAGGATCCCATCAATTTGAATGCAAACATTGTCCTTGGTAGTAGCATACTGACCGGTTATAGCAATTGCCCGTTCGTGCAGACAATGCTCGTAAGCAATTCTATCGACAAACGGAATCAGAAAATGGAAACCGGGAGTCAATGTCTTTAGATAGGTCCCGAATCGTTCGATAACGTAAGCCTTCTTCTCTGGCACAATTCGAATTCCCCAATTCACTGGTTGTGGCGAGATTTCACACCTTCATCCCATTTTACATCACACAGTTTCAAAGTCATTAACAATTTCGAAGTAATTAACAATTTCAAAGTCATTAAATCTAAAGATATTTTCGTTGTACACGCACAAAATTAAAGTAAAAACAGTAACAGATTTAGGTCATAGCATAACTTATCACTCATTAAAAAAAATGTATTACCAAGGGGTAGGGTTGCGCGAGTGGATATGGCGGACAGCGGTTGCAAAATCGCCGCGACGAAGCAGGGGCGGAGCACGACGGCCTATTTGAGACTCACCGGCGGCGAGGATTCGAACCATCTTCACAGAACTCTGTCTCATGAAATACATTGTTTCTAGTTTCTAGGGTTTTCAACAAATTTTTACGATGAGGAATTGGAGATTTAGAGACGAAATTTTCACGAAGGGAATTTATAAATTTTCTAGGATTAAAAATTAAAACTAAAATTTCAAATATATATAGTTGCGAATTTCACCCTTGGCTAGCTTCTTCTCCAAGAAGATAAATTTTCTATGATTAAAAATATAAAGTAAAACTAAAATTTCAAATATATTCAAATATATATATAAGTTGTGTATGGGCTTTTCTCAACATGCAGGTTCTACATAGAATTCAGAGAGATGTATTGTTAGGTTACGTAGCTTAACAAATGAATTATATTATTTATTTATACTGAGTTTGTTGGACCGAACTTAATTGATTATAGTTGTCGGCCCAAACATTATTTGAAGGTTATTTTTTATTCTAGTTGTCTTTAAAATTGGGCTCGTGACGCAGTAAATTAAGAAATTGTAGGCCTATTGAACTTACCCAACTAGACATATGATTAAGCCCCAGTCTCAAGTCGATGTGTGAGTCAAGTCGATAGGGGTGCCGAATCGTGTCGAGAGTAAAAATTGTAGCAGTCTCGCGTTGGAACCTTGTCCGTTGTTTCTTCTATTTTTTTTTTGTTTTTGTTTATTTCTTTTCATCATGAGCGACGCGGGAAAATCCAAACAACTGCGAATTAAACTGCGACAGGAGGTGAAGAGGCACGGAACCGTGCGTATCTGCAGAAATGCGCGCGGCGACAGCGGCAGCGGCGGAGGAGACGTGCCTCACGAGGCGAGGGCGCGTGTGGATTCGCATGGCAGCGGCGGAGGCACGCCTCACGAGGCGAGGGCGCGTTTTGACTTGTGCGACTGCAGGGGAGGCACACCGCACCACAAAACGTTATTTATAGCGCCCAAAAAACCATACGGTAGCCTATCATATGGGGATGTTTGGTTATGTTTTAATGGAAGTTTCTAGTTTTCAAAAATTCTAATGGAAAAAGTAGATGTATTGGTTTTTGTGTAGAAAATGAGAATATGTTTGGATTAAGTGGTATTTTTAGTTTTATATATATGTAGAAATGAAAATATGTTTGGTTGTGGTGTGTTTTCTCTACGAAAGTACGTGCAAAAATATAATATAATGATGATGGTGATTATTATTATTATTATTATTATTATTATTATTATTATTATTATTATTATTATTATTATTATTATTATTATAAATGAGATAGGAGAAAAAATGGAGGAGAGAGAAATAGGTTAGTAGGTATTATTATAGGTTTGAAAAGTGAGAAAAATATGAATAATGTATTTCTATTCAAAAAATTGTTTAGAAAAATAAGAATTTTCAAGTGAAAATTCTCAAATAAACATAATCCCAATTTTATGCATAGTATAAAACTGAAAATTGATTTTGGAAATATAAACAAGTATGACATATGTCTGTCGGAACTATAATAGACCCGGATGCATTTATAGCGTTCTTTAAAATGCTATCGTATACCTCTATGCATAGCGTTTTTTATCGCTATTTTTCGTTCTTTCACATAACTTCATTTAGAGCTATTGTTCACTATTCATAGCATTTATAAACGCTGTTATTTTTTCAACAAGAGCAGTTCGGCTATAATACTTTCTTTAATTGACTTGAGTCTTTTGCGTTATGATTCTTCAAATAATTAATTTATAGGGTAACTTAAATTTCAAAGCTAAATATTTCATTTGTTTGTAAAAAAATTAATAGAATTTGTAATTTCATGCATTTTAATAATTAATTTCTTTCCTTTTGAATGTGACCCCGTGCAACGGGGCATGGTTACTAGTTTTTTGATAAGGAAAGAAAATGGAGGAGATAATAAAATAACAGATTTGTCAAGATAATAACTACCCGATAATAATCACTAATCGCCAGGTGTAGTATCGCAGTAGCCGGTGTAGGCTCGAGGAGTCGATGCCGCAAATAAAGTATAAGTGATGTTTTTTTTGCAAATAAAGTATAATTTTAAAGTATAAAAATTAATCAAATTGTATATAGCTGACAAAATCACGGGGAATACGATGCTACACCTGGTGATTTTCACCGGGTGGCTCTTTTCTTGACATATGTCCTTTTTTATTTATTTTGTAATTATATTTCTAAAAACCCATTGGGCCATAACTGAACCCGTAGTGGGAATCTTATTAATTAGGGTGTCTGGTTATATTCATCAGGTGTAGCATAGAATTTCCCCAAAATCACCTAATGTTAGCACTATTTTGGTGGCTAATTTAATTACTTTTTTCAACAAATCAAAGTTTATCGTATTTTTAGGATTCACATCGTTTGTAAAATACTAAAATTGAAGCGTTTTCAGCAACATGCAAATACAAGACATCGTACAACGGATCTTACGACGACAGCGAACTCTTCTATTATAACGTAATTCCACATGTTTAAAAGAATAAATTTCGTGGAATCAGTCGAAAGAAAGGAAAATAAAATATGCACTGTTTATAATCCTTTTCATATACATCCTAAAAATGAGATGACTCGTTGTACACGGTTCACTTAATTTTTTTGCGCGTTAGGCTTGAAAAATAATTTTATATCTTGCATGTGAGTTTCCATTACAACGAACAAAATGCAAACTAACAAACATAAGTAGTAGGAAATGTCATTGTCATTTTGGGGCTCAAGAGTACAGGATTCTAGAAGATCTATAGAGTCATCTCATTTGTATATATTATATTTGATAGATGATCATAGGAGTTACTCATATAGCCTTTAGATCAAGATGATCACCTCCATACATTGATGAGGTAAAATTGTATAAATAGGGGTATGCTCGTTCATTTGTAAATATCCAACAATTCATTAATCGAAGAGTCTGGAACATTTTATCATGTCAGGACAAGGTAGTATATCATGTGAGGACGACATTTTTTACTTTTTGATGGAGTGGGACTGTAGCATCACTTGATACAAAGTTACAAAATGTGCCCAATGTTCCTGCCTATTTCCGTCTAGGAAAGTGGATTTCTTTTCGATAATAAAAAATATAAAGTAAAACTAAAATTCAAATATATATAGTTGTGTACCGGCTTTGCTCAATCTGCATTTCCTCAACCAGTTTCTTGATAAAATTGCTTATGTTCACAAGAATCCTTGTCGCTCCCTCTTATAAATAAATGGAATCTGAAAATGGAGAACAAGAGTCAATGTCTTAAGATAGTTCCCTGTATCATTCAACAATGTAAGCCTTCTTCTCTGGCACAATTTGAATTCTCCAATTTACGGGTTGAGATATCGTACCTTAATCATAATTTCTTTCAAAGTCATTAACAATTTCAACCCCAATTCACTGATTTCAACCCCAATTCACTGTTGTGGCATGGCGAGATGTCATACCTTCATCACAATTTCAAAGTCATTAACAATTTCAAATTAATTAACAATTTCAAAGTCATTAAATCTAAAGATACCCTCTATAATAATTTGTATTTTCGTTTTACACGCACAAAATTAAAGTAAAAACAATACCAAATTTAGGTCCCTCCTTTCCGATCACCACAGCTACTCATCTATTTACGTGATCACTCAGCTCTTGCATTAGAGACGCGCGAGAATTCTTAAGTCACCTCACTTCACGAAATTCTGCCTCAGAAATTCATTTCGTTCAATTGTGAGAGTTTCCAACACATTTTGAGGGGAAAAAATTGGAAGCTTTGGAAAATTCACATCTTCATTTAATGCATGAACCTAACTGTATAACAGATGCTCACTTAATTGGGAGTTTTCTTGAAGGTGGTTGAAACCATAGCAATTACTTTTGCCGTTGCTTCTGACCCAGCGAGTATAGCTGCCAGCTGCTTCACCTATTATAACAAAATACAACAATAAATAAATGTAATAGAATAATTTATGTTTAAAACAATAAACAAACATTCCTGTTTTTGGTTGAACAATGTTGTCATTCAACGAGTTCTCGTGCATTCTATAATCTAAATTGACACACATTACGCTTGAAAAAGAACTTTTATCTTGCAGCCGAGCTTTCATTACTAATGGAAAAAAATGCAAACTAACTGCTAGATAGCAGAAAATGAACTCCTTACCATTTAGATTCTAAAACTTGAGCTCTCATGCTTCAGCCTGCATCTGCATTGGTGCCTGCACTCCACGTGAAGGAGCTATATCCTCTGGATTTCATAAAGTAAACCAAGATACGCATTAGACGAAGCAGAAAACCCATCGACAATAGAGTAACCAAACGAAGGAAAATTTATTTTCATAAAATATACTACCCACTTATTTCATAATGAATGCACTTTAAGCCCCAGTCGTTAGCAGCGTCGTCGATGGAAATCTGCACTCAATGCATATTTATAGCAGTCAATACAAAAATATGAAGGCATATGAAAGGCTAATCTAAACGCATGAGTCAGAATTTTTTTCCAGTGCAAAATGCATGAAATAGTCGTACATAACCATGACTGGAGGAAACCCCCAAGAGAAACAATTCAAATGGGACATCCGTTTTGCGAATGAGTTATTTTCATATGGTTCCTTCCTAGCTGCTAATTCTATGACAAACATTCAGAAGAAAACGATAACCAAACAGAAATACACATATCACAATCAAATAAGACGACAAACTCATCTAAAAGTCAACTTTACTGTAAACATACTATGCTTCGAATGTAAATGTATTAGAGGTGAGCAAGTCGGACCCATCAACCCACTACACCCGTCAAAACCGTGAAAAACCGCCCCGTTGGGACCGGACGGATAGATCCATCCATAGGATTGGGTCCTAAAATGGTGAAGAACCGTGGGTTCAATTTTTTTTCATATTTCAAGGACTACAAAAAAATCTAAATTATTCCGTCTTGTATTATTTTTTAGAGACATTGATATAAAAAATCAAAGATCGATAAGTAAATATTCATAAATTTTATTTATAATATTACAAGTTTTAACCATTTTATTTTATATTTTTATATTAAATATGATATATATCTATAATTTATATAAAATTATGGAGAATAAACAAAAAAATTAAGGATTAAAACACATATTTACAAAACATTTGGGAGACCAAAAGTAATATTCAAAAAATATTATATCAAAATAGCTAATTTTTTTTCTTTCTTAGGGGTCAACTGCCCCTGCCCCTTAGAAGTACGGCCCCCGGGAGCGGTTGTGGTTGCACGGCTGCCGATTTGGGCGAGGATTCGCAGCTTGTTCACAGGATTTTGTCTTAGGAAATTCATTGTTTCGATCTTGATAGTGTTTTTCAACAAATTTTGACGGAAAGGAATTGGTTGAAGAAAGATTTGTACAAAACAAGTACAATTTATAAGATTATATTGAGCAGTACTTGTAATTATTCAAACACGGAGAGTTTTTTCATAATTTGAGTATACTCAATTTCAGTGCTAGCTTGTTCTCCAAGAAAAGAAAATTTGGAAAATTAAACCGCTATGTTTTTCTGA